CTTTCTCTCGGGCATGCACACATGGTCTCTCATGAATAAAAAGAAACGGAACAAAAAGAATTACAACTATGTCTATTCAGACTTAAGTATTTGGGATACATTTTCTATAAGATGAAGTAAGTCTATCATTTAAAAAAAGAAAATGGCAATTTATTACCAGTGACAAAATTTAAGTAAAAATTAGCATTACAAAAAAACTCTTTTCTGTCATCATGAGTATAATGGCTTCTTAGTACTTAAAATCTCTTCTGATTAGATGGATAGCAACATTAACATGAATTTTTTGATATTTTATGATGACATATGCCTACACTTGGAAGCTCTACATAACTCAGTGAACCAGTGTTTTCAAATGACCAATGCACAATGTTACAAACTTATACATGGCTAAAACCCCATTCTAAATGTAAGATAAATCAGTGGATTGTGGTTGTTTTTTTTTTTTTCATCAAAATGCTTTTTAAATTTTTTTTATTTACACTTAATTGTTTTAATGTAATAGTACCAGTCACTTACAGTTGGTTCTCCATATCCACTGATTCTGCATCTGCAAATTCAACCAACTACAGGTTAAATATTTTTAAATAAATAAATAAAAACAACAATACAAAGATAAAACAAATGAAAACAATACAGTATAACAATTACTTACATTGTATTTGGTGTTAGAAATAATCTAGTGATAGCTTAAAATATATGGCACTATGTGCATAGGTTATATGCAAATCTATACGAATTTATATTAAGGACTTAAAATCCACTAATTTTGGTATCCTCAGGAGGTCATGGAATCAACTTCCAACAGATATTGAAGAATACTCTATTGGGACCAGCAGTTAGCATAATGGCTATGTCGCTGGACTCCCATGTAGTTGACCATGGTTCAAGTCCTGGACCCAGTGGCTTAAACTCACGCCAGGCACATGTGTATGTGTGTGTGTGCCCAAGATCCCGAGAGGAGAATGGAGGAAAGGGGATTGCAGCGTGGCCATTCCCCCTGGGTGGGGGTGATTTCTCGCTTTCTGTCTGTCTGTTTGTCTGGTGAGCACAAGCGCCCTATAGCAAAAACTTCTCCAAAAAAAAAAAAAAAAGAATGACTCTATTTAGTTTGAGTTCACATTGTGGCTAATCTTTAAGAAACTATCACTTGGGGCAACAGGTGGCATGATGGTTAAGGAGACATTGGATCTGTCTTGTCCAGCTGCACAGTCTTTCCCTTTCTCTCGGGCATGCACACATGGTCTCTCATGAATAAAAAGAAACGGAACAAAAAGAATTACAACTATGTCTATTCAGACTTAAGTATTTGGGATACATTTTCTATAAGATGAAGTAAGTCTATCATTTAAAAAAAGAAAATGGCAATTTATTACCAGTGACAAAATTTAAGTAAAAATTAGCATTACAAAAAAACTCTTTTCTGTCATCATGAGTATAATGGCTTCTTAGTACTTAAAATCTCTTCTGATTAGATGGATAGCAACATTAACATGAATTTTTTGATATTTTATGATGACATATGCCTACACTTGGAAGCTCTACATAACTCAGTGAACCAGTGTTTTCAAATGACCAATGCACAATGTTACAAACTTATACATGGCTAAAACCCCATTCTAAATGTAAGATAAATCAGTGGATTGTGGTTGTTTTTTTTTTTTTCATCAAAATGCTTTTTAAATTTTTTTTATTTACACTTAATTGTTTTAATGTAATAGTACCAGTCACTTACAGTTGGTTCTCCATATCCACTGATTCTGCATCTGCAAATTCAACCAACTACAGGTTAAATATTTTTAAATAAATAAATAAAAACAACAATACAAAGATAAAACAAATGAAAACAATACAGTATAACAATTACTTACATTGTATTTGGTGTTAGAAATAATCTAGTGATAGCTTAAAATATATGGCACTATGTGCATAGGTTATATGCAAATCTATACGAATTTATATTAAGGACTTAAAATCCACTAATTTTGGTATCCTCAGGAGGTCATGGAATCAACTTCCAACAGATATTGAAGAATACTCTATTGGGACCAGCAGTTAGCATAATGGCTATGTCGCTGGACTCCCATGTAGTTGACCATGGTTCAAGTCCTGGACCCAGTGGCTTAAACTCACGCCAGGCACATGTGTATGTGTGTGTGTGCCCAAGATCCCGAGAGGAGAATGGAGGAAAGGGGATTGCAGCGTGGCCATTCCCCCTGGGTGGGGGTGATTTCTCGCTTTCTGTCTGTCTGTTTGTCTGGTGAGCACAAGCGCCCTATAGCAAAAACTTCTCCAAAAAAAAAAAAAAAAGAATGACTCTATTTAGTTTGAGTTCACATTGTGGCTAATCTTTAAGAAACTATCACTTGGGGCAACAGGTGGCATGATGGTTAAGGAGACATTGGATCTGTCTTGTCCAGCTGCACAGTTCAAGCCCTAGACCTGGCAGCTTGAAAAACATGCTGGGAATGTGTGTGTGTGTGTGTGTGTGTGTGTGTGTGTGTGTGTGTGTGTATGTGTGTGTAAAATCCCAAGAGGAAAAATGAAGGAGAAGTGATTGTGGAATGGCTATCATGCCTCGGGGGTTGACTTCTCACTTTCTCTCTCTCTGTTACTCTCTCCATCTCTCTTCAGTAAGCACATCCACTCTATGGCAAAAATCTAAAAAAAAAATAAATAAAATACTATCACTCATTGCTGGGTGTGGTGGCATACACCCGTAATCTCAGCTATTCACTAAACTGAGGCAAGATGAGCTTTAGTTTGAGGCCAGCCTGGACAATCTAGCAGAACCTTGTCTCTTTTAAAAAAAAAACTGAGGCAGGGGGAAGGGGCAGCAGGTGGCGTGCTGGTTAAGGCCCATGGCCAGCTCCAAGGTTCAAGTCCCAGACCTGGCAGCTCGAAAAACACTAGGCACATGTGCATGCTTGCTCAAAATCCTGAGAGGAGAATGAAAGAGAAAGGATTTTGGTGTGATTCTCACTTTCCCTTTCTCTCTGGCTCTTTTTTTCTTTGATGAGCACATGAGCCCTATGGCAAAAAGAAAAAGTATATAAAAATGTATATATATATATATATATATACACATATATATATATATATGCATTTATAAATATATGTGTGTGTGTGTATGTGTGTATGTATGTATAAGAAACTATCACTTTTCAGGTTTTGATGTAGTATTAAAAAGGACTACCCATCCAAGTCTTCCTTTCCCGACTACTTACCTCTGTGAGTACAGGTGTGCTTCTTTATACACTTCAATTGGAACAGCATATTGTAACAGAGTGAATACAGACGCACACAAGGGGATTATTTCAGTTTGTTACTACACTGCTAAAAGAGGGACCAGCAGTTGGCATAATGGCTTTGTCGCTGGACTCCTATGTAGTTGACTACGGTTCAAGAACTGGACCTGGTGGCTTAAACTCACGCCGGGCACGTGTGCGTGCGAGCCCAAGACCCCGAGAGGAGAATGGAGGAGAAGGGATTGCGGCATGGCCATCCACTCAGGGGCAAATTCTCACTTTCTATCTGTCTGTCTCTCGGGCGAGCACATGTGCCCTCTATCAAAAACCTCTCCAAAATAAAAACCGAGACTAGATGATTTTACAAAGAAATACACATTTATTCAGCTCATGATTTAGAGATCCAGGGTCCAACTTCTGGTGAGGCTACAACATAGTAGAGGGCAAGATCTTAAGCAGAGCATGGTCTGTGTCCAGGTGGCTTCTGCCTGCCATATTTCCTTTCTTTGTATGTATACACACTAGAACTCAATCATGGAGGCCCCATCATAACCATTCCATCATTAATCTCTTCCCAAAGGCCCCGTCCTTCAATACCATAACCAAACTTAATCCTTATATAATGGCTGAACACATGAATCCCAAAGGAGCACAAATTCAGACCGTAGCAAGGACCTTAAAATTTTCATGGAGGGACCAACAGGTGGCATAGTGGTTAAGGTACTGGACACTCCCACATGACCAACCACAGTTCAAATCTGGGACCTGATGGCTTTCGTTCTCTCCTTTTTTTCCCTCTCTGTCTGTATGTGTGTGTGTCTCTCTGGTCAAATTAAAGTAAATGAATGAATAAATTAAAAATTTTTTTAAATATTTCATGGATAAATGGAGCCATATATGAGTTTATTTTGGTGTAAAACTACTGAAATACTGGCCTTTTTTTATGATATGCATTTTCCTTGATTTTTTTTTTTAGAACAGATTCACACAATGGTATTTACTCAGATACATTTAAGTGAAGAAATGTAATAATATAATTCAGTTCAAATGTTTACCACACATAGACTATGCCAAGAATATTTCCAAAAGCTAAATTACAAACACAAATAAAATTCAGTTCCTACCCATAAGATATACACAAAAAAATTAATTCTCTCTCTCAAAATTAGAAATCTGACATCAACAGGCATTTTTTTGGTAATATGTATAATATATAAAATATAACTATTGGACCACTGGAAAAGTTTTCATTATATTCTTTATAAAAATGCATCATGACTTTTCCAGTAACCCAATATATAAAACTGTATATAACTACAGGACCAGCAGGAGACATAATGGTTACATCATTAGACTCCCATGTAGTTGACTGTGGTTCCAGTTCTGGACCTAGCAGCTTGAAACTCATACCGGGCGTGTGTGCATGCATGCTCAAAATCTCTGAAGGAGAATGGATTGCAGCGTGGCTATTCTCCCTGGGGGATGATTTCTTGCTTTCTGACACTCTGATGAGCACACATGTCCTATAGCAAAAATCGCTCTTGAGTGTGAAAAGGCTGATTCGGCCAGGTAGTTTATAAAATAGCCCCTCTTCTCCTCTTGAATTGGAATGCAGCATAGCATTGAGGCACGCAAGAGGGGATGCCCCACTTCTCATTTCCTTCAGTCCTTCTGCCTCTATGACCTGCAGAATCTGTTTTGGTGTCATTGGAGCATCCGAGTAGTTTTCTAACACCTGATATAGATCCAGAAGACTCTAAATGCCACTTGCATCCTTGAAACGGAGGTCGCTTTCCAATCACACCATCCCATTACCCACCAGGAAGTGAGGGCTTTCTTGAACTTTTTGAAGACCCTTTGTATATATAAAAATCTAGCTGTTTTCTCTTAAGCCAAACATTACAGAAATTTACAAACATAAAACAGTGCTGTTCATCTCACTAAATTGTTTTCTTTTTTTGGAGAGGTTTTCTCTATAGGGCGCGTGCACTCGCCAGACAGACAGAGAGAGACAGAGAGACAGAAAGCGAGAAATCACCCCCCAGGGGGGATGGTCATGCTGCTACTCCCTTCTCCTCCATTATCCTTTTGTAATTTGGGGTATGCACACACATATGCCCGGCATGAATTTTAAGCCACTCGGTCCAGGGACTCTAACTATAGCCGATTATGTGGGAGTCCAGCAGCATAACCATTATGCCATCTACTGGTACCATCTCACTAAATTTTTATTTTGTTTCAGAAATTTTTTTTCTCTGGCTATATAATTGTTTTCTTTAAAGAGTTAACAAATATTTTCTAAATGTATCAATATATGTAACTCATGTAAACAAAAGGTCTTTTGGGTCTCAGTGATTTTTTAAGAATGTGATTGATCCCAAGACTAAAAATCTTTGAGGACTGCTATCCTTTGGCATCCATTATATGTAATGAATTAACTTTTCTTGTGCAGCTAGAATTATACTAGTTTTGTACCACCTTGCTACAATTGAAAAAATAGTCACTCAGTTCATTTTCTGTGTTCAGCAGTTCAGATGAGTACCCTGGTTGAGCACAACTAGAAGGAATGGAAAATAGCTAGGGAGACAACATTTCTTTAGATAAAGTAGTTAATCCATTCTTAGGAGGCAGTATTGGAGCTGAGCACTGAGTTATGAACAGTGCCCAGTTATGGGAAGATTTGTGGAAAACATGCTTGGCAGTAAGGTAGCTAATGCGAAGGCTCTGAAAGAGAAATGAGGTTGGGTGTTTGAGGACTAGTGAGGCATGAGTCACTGGAGGAGAGTAAACAAGGGAAAGGTTAATAGGACCTAAGGACAGAGAAGTAGCCAAGACCAGATCACAGGTGAGCCTAATTGCAGTAGTCAGGCAGCCAAGCAGGAGTAAGAGAAGATATGACCTAATCACTTAGACTGCTACATAGCCATTATGCCAACTGCTGGTCCTTTAAGAATTTAACTTTTATTTCCGGCCAGCTCCATAGTTCAGCAGTATGTGCTGCTTAAGAGAAGCCAGATCCTACATGGCGACCAAAGTTCAGATCCCTGGACTAGTCAGCCTAAAACATGGCAGTCTCAAGGTCCCATGGTCCAGAGGATTAGAGGAAGGGGATTGCTGCTTGACCAGACCCTGTGCGGAGGTCCTCCTCTTCCTCTCCCGTGTGCAAGTGCTCTATAATGAATAAGGAAAAGTGATTTTAAAAAATTTTAGCTTTATTTCATTGATTTAGTGGCTGTTTGAATTTTTGTGAGTTGCCTGTTTTAGTTTTTAATCTTTGCCCATATTATTTTTATCGAGGGACCAGCAGGTAGCATAATGGCTATGTCACTGAACTTCCATGTAGTTGACCGCTGTTTGAGTCTCGGACCTGGTGGCTTAAACTCACGCCGGGCGCGTTTGTGTGTGTGCCCAAGATCCAGAGAGGAGAATGGAGGAGAAGGGATTGCGGCGTGGCCATACCCCCTAGGGGGCGATTTCTCACTTTCTGTCTGTCTCTGTCTGTCTCTCTGGCGAGCGCACGTGCCCTATAGCAAAAACCTCTCAAAAAAAAATTTTTTTTTTCTTACTGATTTGTAAGAGCTGTTTGTTTATACTTTAAGGATATTGGCCTTCTCTCATATATGTTTTAGTTACAGTGATCCTAGTTTGCCTTTTGTTTATTGTATATAGTTTCTGACAGGATTTTTTTTAATTGAAGTTTGAATGTGTATGCAATCAGATCTTGCTTTTTTTTCTATCTTTTTCCTTACATTCCACTTATCTTTAAAAAATTCTACCCCACTCAGATAAAATAACCAACTTTATTCTAACTTTATACTTTATTAAACATCAGAGTGTAGGCTTTGACTTTTTCCCTTTTGATTATGAAAATTTTCTAATAATCAACATCAGCATATTTCCTTGTCTAGTACCTCTAGCTTTACTATCAAAATTACTGATATTTATTTTAAAGATTCCAATTGATTCCTCACTTCAGGTTTTACAGACATTTCACCAGAGGAGTTGAGGCTTGAATACCATAACTTCTTAACCAGCAATAACTTACAGAGTTATGTAAGTTTGTTTCCTATTATCTATGTTGATAACAGATTAGCTGTTAATTATTATTTTCTCTGCTTTAGTGACTTGCTTGTGTTTTGGCATTTGGTTAGGTATATAATTTTTTAAAGGACAAGGCCACTTTCATTTTCTAATTTCCTTTCTTTGGAATTGGTTAGTTATCTAAAACAGAATTTCTTTCTGTATGATTAGAAATAAATTATTTTTATTATAAATTATCTAGCAATCACTCTCAGAAATCAAACTCTTTTTATCATTTGATAGACATTGAGCTTCTGTTAGGTGTTAATACCATGAAAATTGCTAGAAAAACAAAGTTAAATAAGAAGCAGTTCATTATACAGATAATAGCTTCACCTGTCAAATATCCAAAACTGAAAAATCTTGACTAAAATAAATTGAGTACCAGAAGAAAACGCTCTAAACTCTCTTTTCCCATTGGTTGTCCACGATCATGACCATGCAGTTCGACTAGTGCACGTGTTCACTTCCCATCCTAACATAACGAACTCTTGCTGCCAGGTACTTATGGTTATCAACCAGGTGATATGAGGAGCTGGAGAACTGGGAGGGGGACTATAACTGGAAAAACTTTAGCAAATAGTTGCAAGTCAGTGCAGATTTTACAACTGTGGACCATAACACTGTCCCATAAGCTTTATGAGATTGAGAAGTGAATACATGAAGTTTTTATCAAAGAAATTAATTTAACACCCACTGTTGTGTCATTATTTCTTCGTCTTCTCTCTTCAGCTAAATTCTGTCCAGCAGTTAATTAATCAATGGAGGAACAGGGTAAATGAACTGAAAAGTCTAAATTCATCAACTAAAGCAGCTTTGGTGAGTATTAGAGGTTTTCTTCAGGAAAGTATTTTAATCTGTTGCTTGTTTGCAAAATATTTTTCACTTTGGATTTGGAAAACAAAGCAAAAATTCTGTCAAGAGTTATGGTATAGGATTGACTCCACAGTGCTGCAGTTTAGCCCTGTGTGTAGGGAGCCAGATCCCACAGCTGTTTATGGTTCAAGTCCCAACCCCAGCAGTTTGAATATCATACTGGGCACCTATACATGTGTGTCCCAAATCCTGATAGGATAGAGAAGTGGAGGAAAAAGGATTGTACCCCATTGGGGAGTGCTTTCTCTCTCTCTTTTTTCTTCTTCTTCTCCTCCTCCTCCTTCTAATTCTCCTTCTCCTCTTTTGTCATCTTCTTCGTCATCGTCATCGTCGTCGTCTTCGTCTTCGTCTCTTGGGAAGCAAGCTTGGGACCGTCCCAAGTGGGTCCAGCGTCACAGAGAGTTGTGATACTGCTGCAGCCCTGGCCCTGTCATAACTTTTTTGAGAAAAATAACAGCCATGCTAGGGATGACTGACTCTTTTAAAGGCATTTCTATTTCTGTATAAGACAAAGATCCTACGGTAACTGTCCTACAGTCAGTGTCTAAATGTTCATTCACATAATATTTAAAAGCAATTTCTGTTTAAACACAGATAATCTTAAATACTAGAATCCATGTAATATTTTCCAATTTTCAAAACTATTACTATAAAGTTAAAAAACGTTACCCCAAAAACAGGCTTAAAAGGGGGCCAGATGGTGGTATAGCAGTAAAGCGATACTCTGAGGTGAATCTAAATCGGAGAGTTGCCAGTTCACACCCACTGTTGAGTCATTATTTCTTTGTCTTCTCTCTTTAGCTAAGTTCTGTACAACAGTTAATTAATCAATGTAGGAACAGGGTAAATGAACTGAAAAGTCTAAATTCATCAACTAAAGCATCAACTAAAGTGATGCAAGTGCACATCTCTTGACAATTAAAAAAACCCAAATGGATGAATTATGGTACATGCATTCTTTTTTTTTTTCAATTTATTTATTTGCATTCATCCACTGTACATCATTACAGCATACAAAATGAGATTTTCCATCCAGAGTATACTGTATATTGTCTCAATCAAGCACATCAACAAACATGTTATTGTCAGCAAATGATCTTCCATTTCTTGTTTTCTGTATGTTTTGCTTTTTTCCCCCCATCCTTGGTTCCCTATCTCTTACCCTCTGCCACCTCCCGCTCTCCTCCCACACTGTCTCTGGTATCTATGTTTGCTTTCTATACCATTTTCCCCCCACATTTTATTGAGCCACCTAATCAATCCAAATATCCTCATAGCAAACACAGGTGACACACACATTTCCATGAGCACAAGTCTAACTATAAAGTAGCACCTAGCTGGGGCTACGTCCTACTGCAATCATTGAATAGATATATTTTTTTTCCTGGAACTTTTTTTTTTTTTGTAATGTGCATGATTGAGTCACTATGCAGTGTGTACTGGATGGGAGGTTGCATTTTGTGCCATGTGATGATGCTTAGGGAAGGAATGTAAATTGAGTTACAAAAAAAAAAAAAAAAATTTCCAATTCTAGTTCCTAGAATTATTTCCACCCCTCTTTCTGACCCTCTGTCCCTTCCCACCTGCCTCTCACACCACCTCCGGTGTCCAAAATTGTCCTCCATTCCCTTTCCACCCACATTGCATTGATCACACAATTTCCTACATAACCTAACTACTTTCAATGGTGAGTTCACTTGTTACTACTAAGAAAACCAGTTTTAACTTAAATCAAAGAAACGCCAAGGAACTTTGCTTAAAGTCAGGAAACAGGTTAGGATTCTGTTCAAATGGTAGGTGCATGAAGCTATCAGTCTCATGGTACATGCATTCTTAAGATACTATCTTTTAGAGTGAAGGTTCTGGAGTTGCTTTCTCTGTTCCTCAGTCAGAAAAGCAGACAAATATATGGTTTTTTTTGTTTTGTTTTGTTTTTGTTTTTAAATGATGAGAGATTGTACAGGAGGAGGGAGAGAGAAATATTTTGACAGAGTCTTGCCTTTATAATCCTCTGCCTTAGCCTCCTCCCCTGTTAGCTTGGATTACAGGCATGCACCACCATGCCTGGCCTATTCAGGTTGGTCTGGGATCCAATCCCAGTCCTCCCCTGTGGCCCCAGCCTTAGACAGTGTGACCCTCCTGCTAACACTGCCATGGCTGGGCCAGTTATGCTCTTTATTTTTATAAGGATTTTTTTTTATTTTGGGACCAGCAGATGGCATAATAGCTACACCACTGGACTCCCACATAGTTGACCACAATTCGAGTCCTGGACCTGGCGGCTTAAAACTCAACACTGAGCATGTGTGCATGTGTGGCCAAAAATCCCAAGAGAAGAATGGAGGAGAAAGGATTGCGGTGTGACCATCCCTCCTAGGGGCTGATTTCTCACTTTCTGTCTCTTTCTCTCTCTGTGGTGAGTGCACTTGCCCTATAGCAAAAATTTCTGTTAAATAAAAAAAAAGGATTTTTAAATTTAATTTTATTTATTTGCTTGCTTGCTATAGGGCATGTGTGCTTGCTGGAGAAAAATGGGAGTGGGGATGAAAACTCTCCCAAATGGGATGGCCACACCACAGTACCTTCCCCTCCATTCATCTCTTAGGATTTTGGGCACATGCACACATGTGCCTAGCGTGCCTTTCTAGCTGTTGCATTCAAAACCCTAACTCAAACTGTGCCATTGGCCATGTGGGATCCAGCCACCCTGACCTCGTGCCACCTGATGGTACTAATTATACTTTCTAAATGTTTTATTTTTATTTATTTATTTATTTATTTTTGCTTCAGGATGTGTGTGTGTGTGGTTTTTTTTTTTTTTTTTTTTTGAGAGATTTTCACTGTAGGGCGCGTGCACTCGCCAGACAGACAGAGAGACATAGAGACAGAAAGCGAGAAATCACCTCCCAGGGGGGATGGTCACGCCGCAATCCCTTCTCCTCCATTCTCCTCTCGGGATATTGGGCACGCACGCACACGTGCCTGGTGTGAGTTTTAAGCCACCGGGTCCGGGACACGAACCGCGGTCGACTACGTGGGAGTCCAGCGACATAGCCATTACGCTAACTGCTGGTTCCCTAGGATGTGTGTTTTCTCCAGTGAGAGAGAGAGGGGAGAGAAAGCATCCCCATGGTAAATGGTTTTGCAACAATTCCTTCTCCTCCATCTTTCCCTCCTTTCAGGATCCTGGACGTGTTCACATACACGTGAACAGCATATTTCTCAAGCTGCTTGGTCCAGAACTCAAACTACGTGGTTGGCCATGTGGGTTCCAACTGCCCTAACCACCAGGTCATGGAACCAACCAATGAAACATTTCTTTTTAGTTTATTTATTCCATGAGTGAGAAACAGAGAGGGGGAGAAAGAGTTAAACAGCATCCAGACAGTGTCTTGATACACAGCGTATCCCTAGGCTCTGTAAACATGGATCATGGGCACACGCATGCCTGGAATACTCAGAGAGGAAGGACTCTGGGTGTGAACTGGCAACCCTCCGATTTAGATTCGCCTCAGAGTATCGCTTTACTGCTATACCACCATCTGGTCCCTTTTAAGTCTGTTTTTAGGGTAACGTTTTTTAACTTTATAGTAGTAGTTTTGAAAATTGGAAAATATTACATGGATTCTAGTATTTAAAATTATCTGTGTTTAAACAGAAATTACTTTTAAATATTATGTGAATGCACATTTAGACACTGTAGGACAGTTACCGTAGGATCTTTGTCTTATACAGAAATAGAAATGCCTTTAAAAGAGTCAGTCATCCCTAGCATGGCTGTTATTTTTCTCAAAAAAGTTATGACAGGGCCAGGGCTGCAGCAGTATCACAACTCTCTGTGACGCTGGACCCACTTGGGACGGTCCCAAGCTTGCTTCCCAAGGCCTCCCTGTGTACACTGAACACATGTGCAGATGCCTATGGCCCAGGCTAGCTGAGGCTAGGAGTAGAACACAGCACCAAAGTCCTGTTGGAAACGTCTGCCTCTCTATTTCTATGTCTCTCTCTTATGGAATAAAGAAATAAACTTTTTAAAAGAGATTTTTTTGCTATAGGGTACGTGTGCTCACCAGAGATAGAGAGACAGAAAGTAGGAAATGACCCCACAGGAAGGTGGCCACACTCCTTCTCCTCCACAATCCCTTCTCCATTCTGCTCCTGGGATCCTGGACACACATGCACATGCATCCAGCGTGAGTTTTAAGCTACCGGGTCTTGGACTTGAACTGTGGTCAAGTATGTGGGATTCCAGTGAGGTAGCCCACCATCAACCTCATTGAGAATTAATGGAGAAGGGATAACTGAGTCCAAAGAATTACTGGACTTTCCTCAGGGCTGAAAGTTCTCACTTTTTGCTAACTTCCTGGGGCCTCTCCACCAGTGAGGATCTGAGACAGCCCCACCACACACACACACCTGGCTTAGCACATATCATATTCACTCCTTCATGCTGTGGAGCATTCCATTATATGATATACTATACTTTGTTTATCCATTTATTTGTTAATGGATATTAGGCTGAAGGAGAGAAGCCAAACAAAAAGACAAAAGAGTACTAATTCCATTTATATGAAACTCTCAAAAAGACAGATCTCACCTATAGCGATAGAAAGCAAAAGATCTGATTGCCTGGAACCAGGTGTTGAGAAGGGAGTTAACAAGGGACAAGAAGAACATTTAAATGCAATTGTGAATCTACTTCAGTTCATGCATTGGATGTCCTATAAATGTTCCCTTTTCCTAATATCCAGATTTCTTGATAAATCCAGATCCAACCTTTAATGTGGATACTGAAAAGTATTATTTAAAGTTATTTTTCTGATCATATGTGCTCTCTATAAAAATTTAGAAAGTACGAAAAAGCATAAACAAATTTAAAATCATTCATAATTTATCACTCAAAGATGATCACTATTAATTTGTTTTGTTTTGTTTAGTCTTTAGTAAAGCATGTGTGCTTGTCAGAGAGAGACACAAAGAGAGAGGGAAAGTAAGAAATCACTCCCCCCAGGGTGGATGGCCATGCTATAATCCCTTCTCCTCTAGTCTCCTCTTGGCATTTTGGGCACAAGTACACAGGGTCATTTTTTAAGATGCCCGATCTAGGATTCACACCACGCAGTCATCCATGTGGGATCCAGTGCCTTAAGCTCTACACTACGTGTGGCCTTGTTGTACTTTTAAAAAAAAGTGCATGCTTAAATTATTATTAGTTGAGGTGCTTTATCCTACTATTTTCAACCCTTCCCTCTGCCTACTCTGGGCATTTTTTCATGTTAAACATTTAACTTCACATCTGAAATGCATATCTTAAATATTGAATTTGGCTTAGGTGTATGGAAAAGTACTTGCGAATTGTCACCAAACATTTTATTGTTTGCATGTTTTGTTTTAAAGCTCTCTGATATAAAGGATGGAGTAAATCAAGCAGCACCTACATTTGGATTTGGCACTGGGCAAGCAGCAACATTTGGATCACCAGGTAAGTGATAAAGTAATATGGGACTTCCCCAACTCAGAAAATCAGGATTTTATAGAAATCCAATTATAAAACCTGAATTACCCTTGTGAATTTTACCACCTTCTATCATATAACTTTGAAGAATCTGGTTCTTCAAACATTTGTGAAAGGGAAGCTAGGGTGAGAGTCTTTGAGAAACCCTACAGCTCAGGCTTTGGAAGTCCATTTTAGCAATGATCTTTCAAGAGTTTCATAGGAGGGACCAGCAGGTAGCATAATGGCTACATTGCTGGACTCGTATGCAGTCTGCTGCAGTTTGAGTCCCGGACCCAAGGGCTTAAACTCATGCCAGGTGCATGTGTGTGCGTGCCCAAGATCCCTAGAGGAGAATGGAGGAGAAGAGATTGTGGCGTGGCTATCCCTCTCACTTTCTGTCTCTCTATCTCTCTCTGTCTTTCTGTCGAGTACATGCGCCCTATAGCAAAAAACCTCCTCCACCAAAAACAAAATAGTTTTATAGGAGTTTATAGCTGTGGTAGCAGCCCCTTTGAGAACCTTCTTGACACAGTGTACAATATAGCATAGGCTTGTTCTCTAGTGAGAGCTCTACTGAGGTGGGGTGGCAAGCTGAAAGTGAAAGTCCCATTCTGGCCCCTGTCTTTCTCCTTGGGAGGAAGTAAACGTCAGTAGCAGAAAAGCCAGGAAAATAGGATTTAGTCGATTTGTTCTAGTCCCATTTTCACTTTTCCTTCTTCTTCCTTCCTGTAAACTTCTCAACATCCAAACATAGTAGGAATAAGAAAGAAAGGTGGAAGTAGGGGTAATATGGCTACATTTTATGACTATAATAATTCTTTTTTTCTTTTTCTTGTAGGTTTTCCAGTGAATAACAGCAGCAGTGATAATGTTCAGAATTTTGGTTTTACAGCAAGCTCAGGATTTGTCACTGCTCCTTCTGGAGGCCCTTCTGTGTTTGCGAGTCCTCCAGCATTTGGAGCTATACCCTCTGCCAGTTCTGCCATGTCTGCTCCCACTCCGGCTTTTGGATTTCAGAAACCTAAAAGTACATCTGCTGCTTCGTTTTCCTTTAAAAGCCCTGCAACTTCTAGTTTTGGATCACCTGGATTTTCAGGATTTCCATCTTCCTTCGCAACAGGTCCTGTTGGAGCTTCAGTGACCCCAGCTGATGGAAGCGGCAATTCTGTGGCTGGTTTTGGTAGTTCAAGCTCACATTCTTACACTGCCTTTTCCAAACCATCTAATGACATCTTTGGAAATAACAGCATATCCTCTTCTCTCCCAGTCTCAAACAGCATCATCACAACAGATAATGTGTTATTCACACCCAAGGATAAACTAACAGCAGAAGAACTGGAACAATTTCAATCTAAGAAATTTACTCTGGGAAAAATTCCATTAAAACCACCACCTGTGGAGCTTCTAAATATTTAAAAGGACAGTTCCTCATACAAAAAAAGGATGATTTTTTGAAGTTGTTTTGAGTGGCTTACATAAAAGCAAAGATATGTATATATATATGTCTCTATGTACATATACACACATATACATGTATATATTTATAAGCTTTCAATAATTTGAAAGATTTTTAAATTAACTTCTTAAGTGTAAGTAAAACAAAAAATAAACAAAGGAATGTTTTGGAACTGTGATTATAAATGGAATTGAAAAAATTGTATCAAATAAAGTACTCCTTATACACCATTTTTACCTTCTCTTTTTTTTTTTTTTTTTTTTTTTTGAGGTTTTGTGATAAGGCATGTGTACCCACTGGAGAGGGAAATTGAGAAATTGCCCCCCAAAGGGGACAGCCACACCATAGTCCCTTCTTCTCCATTCTCCTCTCAGAATTTTGGGCACACATGCACCTGAGTGTTATTTATTTGGAGAGGCTTTTTCTTTTTTTCTTCTTTTTTTTTTTTTTTTTTGCCATAAGGCATGTGAGCTCACCTAAATGACAGAGAGACAGAGAGACAGAGAGATAGAAAGCGAGAAATCACCCCTCAGGAGGGATGCCCACGTCGCAATCCCTTCTCCTCTATTCTCGGGATCTTGGGCACGCACGCACATGCGCCTGGCCTGAGTTTAAACCACTGGGTCCGGGACTCAAACTGCTGTCGGCTACATGGGAGTTCAGCGACATAGCCTTTACACTAACTGCTGGTTCCCCTGAGTGTTATTTTGAAGCCACCAGGTCCAGGACTCAAACTGTAGTTAGACATGTGGGAGTCTGGCACCTTAACCATCCTTCTACCTGCCATCCCCAGTTTCTCATTCTTTAATGTTTTACCTTTAAACTGTTTTTCCTTTTAGGAAAGGGATAATTTCTGGAACTATTAGGGAAAAAATGCTTAAATATGTAACTTTCAGAATAAACATCAGTAGCAAGATATCCCTTCCTTAAATATTCTCTTAAAATGGTTTGTTTTGCATAATATATTGACCATTGTTTCATATAGATCTATGTCATCCTTTTTAAGAGTTGCCACGTACTCATTCTGAAGGATATAAAGTGAATTTGAGCACAGAAGAGAGAAAGGGAATATGTGTTCCTGAATTCATTTCAGACACTTGGCTTTTTTATTTAATTTGCCAGGGAGCACATACACTCACCGGAGAAAGAGAGAAGGCACCCCCAGAAGGGTGTGGTCATGTTGCAGTCCCTCCTCCATTCCTCCATCTTGTGGGGATCTTGAGCATGCACGCATACCATGTTTTTCAAGCTTCAAGGGCTAGGATTAAACCATGGTTGGCCATGTAGGATGACTCCTTTAACCACTAGGCTATGGGGCCATCCTTTTTAAATTTTTTAAAAACTTGTTTCTTTGATGAGAATAAGAGAAATGAATCCTTAACAAGGTCTCACCTTGTGATTCCTAGCTTAGCCTTCCTAGTCAGCCAGGGAGTGTGCATCCCTGCCATATACAGGTCGACCAAGGAACTGAACTGGCAATTGTTTATATGGATTTAACTTCCTTCCAGTATAGTGCTACTGCTGTGCCATCAAGATAGCTCACCCTGATAATTCCTAGGTATCTAGGACTAGACCTGGCAGGCCTCATCTCATGCTGAATCAGCTCTTGTCTGTGGCCTGTGGTCCTCAGGGCTCTTGCAATGCTGTTGTCTGTGGCCACTCAGAGAGCGAGCACTCTTCAGGCACTGACTGAAGAAACAACATGGGCCTGGAACTTCAGGATAAAACATTTCTGTCTCCAGCACAGTAGGAATTTGGAGTGCTGCTTACACCTCACATTTCTTTCAGGAATAAATGTTCCATATGATCCCTCCACCAAAAAGAAAAGATTTTCTTAAATAAATAACATTTTTTATCTAAAGAAAGAAAAGCTTATTTTTAGGATCTGGGAGGTGTTTCCCCTTAATAATTTGTTCCCCTCTCAGTTTTGGCGCTCAAATTACCATTGAAGTTTTATCAATTTTGGACTAATTTTTATCTTGGCCTAATTTTTACATAATTCTATTTATCCCTCTCAGTCTTATCGAATGAATTATATAAGAGGAATAAAAATGGTGATTTCATGTGGATAAGGAGTGCATATAGTGAGGTCATGATTTGCCAGCTTGTTTCTAGAGCTTCTGTTAGAATTCTCCAGGGCCGGCAGGTGGTGTGGTGGTTAATGGTGCTGGACTCCCACGTGGCTGACCACGGTTTGAGTCCTGGACCTGGTAGCTTGCTTTCTCCCTTTCCCTCTCTCTCACTCTGTTCCTCTCGGGTCAAATTTAAATAAATAAATTAATTAATTTTTAAAAATTATTATTAAAAAAAAGAATTCTCAGGCATGTTTGGATCACCCTGTGATCAAAAAGACACTACAAAAGATTTAGCAGAGTTACACAGAGTTCAGTCCTCAGAGGATCCGAAGTATACTTTTAAAATAACAGTGTGACTCCAACTGGCAGTTCTGGAATGCAAAGCATTTGGGACAGAATTGATACCCAAGGGAGTATGTTTGAAACCATCTTTGGTGTAGAGATGGTAAATAGTCCATAAATTTCTTCTTCGTCTCAAGGTCTGAAGACTTCAATATTCCGAAGTTGAATAGTAGAATTATCCTTCCCTCTCATGGCATGAACCTATACTATGAGGCTGGTGTGTCAGTCCATTCCTACAGTTATAACAATGCTTGAGAGTGGGTGATTTATAAAGAACAAAAATGTGTTTCTCAGAGTTCTGGAAGCTGAAAGTCTGAAGATCAAGGTGCCAGCAGGTTTAGTGTCTAGTGAGGGACCAGTTCTTGCTTCCAAGATGGTACCTTATTGCTGTACCCCTACGTGGCAGAGGGGAAGAGAATGAAGTCACTTCATCAAACCCTTTTGTAATGGTTTAATCACATCCACGGAAGCTCTGCCCTCATGATTTATTAGGTTGTCAGGAAAATCATGATATATTTTTCTGTTTTTGTATACAAAAATGCATCATGACTTTCCCCACAACCTAATAATTATCTCCTAAAAGCCCATATATGTATGTGTGTGTGTGTGTGTGTGTGTGTGTGTGTGTGTATACTTCTCTCTCAGCGAGTACATGTGCCCTATAGCAAATTTTAAAAAGGAAAGAAAAGAAAAAGGGAAATTGAGATGCAGTTTCTTGGGCCCTGCACACACACACACACACACACACACACACTCACACAGTTCTTTCTTCATCAGCCTCCTTAAGCACATGACTGCTAGGTTGTGCTTTTAAGGAACATTCCATCACGCCATCGACATGTCACATTGTCTGGTTCCTGTGATCCTTGTGAGAAAGAGGAGGGATGGACCCTGGAGTCTGCAGACCTTTTCTTCATTGTGTTCAATTGACCACATGTAATTCGGATGTCACAGAGGGGTTCTTCAAAGTGCTCTCTACATTAAAAACAAACTAAAAAAATAAATAAAACAAAAAACTTCACATTTCTATACAGCATCCTTTTTTTTTTTTTTTTTTTTTTTTAGGGTTTTTGCTTTTTGGTTTTTTTTCTCTCCTCCAGAAAGGCAGAGAGAGACAGACAGAAAGCAAGAAATCATCCCCCAGGAGGGATGGCCATGCCATAATCCCTTCTCCTCCATTCTCCTCTCAGGTGGCTTAAACGCACGCACACACGCCCGGCGTGAGTTTAAGCCACCAGGTCAAGGACTCAAACCGCAGTCGACTACGTGGGAGTCCAGCGACATAGCCATTACGCTAACTGCTGGTCCCCTACAGCATCCACTTTTGATCTCAATAGGTCACATGGGGGTGAGGGAACCTTTTTCCTAGTCAACGTTACCTCTTAGCCTCTGCTTCCACAATAAAAATTCACAGAAACTAGCAAAAAACAAATAAACAAACAAAAAACCCTTGCCATTTCCAATTTCACTTCTTTCACTATTGTCTAAGGGCTCTGATGATCCAAGGCAAAGAACAATGGCCACAACCTTCCAACCTCCACCACCAAAGGAATGAGATTGAACCCCCCAGAACCACATCTGTTTTCCTAGGTACTTGTCCTAGCTCCCTGGCTTTGTGGGGATGGTCTTGCCTGTCCCACAATGCCTTCCTCCTGCTGAACCCTCATCATGAAGCCATGAGTTAGCATTTCTGGCTGATTTAATTTAGCACACCTTTCAGAAATATATGCTCTTTCTGTTTATGACATTTTGTTAAATGATAATAATCACATGAATCTATGGGCTAGCCTTAGTTTTGAAGACTTAGCACTCAGCTCTAACATTGTCCAGGTCTCCAGTCAATACCCAACTATACTTCCCATTCTGTTTTGTTGCTAATATCAGTATTTTTTTCCCATGACCTGGAAGAATGTTAATTTTTCCTTTTTTTTTTCCCTACTTTCCTTCATACCCCTGGTTGTACCATGACAAAGCACCAGCAATCTCATTTTTCAACACTTACAGCAGAGGTCCTCTTCCACCTTCTTCTCCCTCAAACCCAGTCTGGTATCAAAACACAGCTGGAAAATATTTTCTCTGACCCCTTTCTGACAGAAACCCCATACCTCTCCACCAGCATTTCCAATTCTATCGGGGCTTCTCATGAAACTTCCAGCCCACTTTGGAATACAGTTTCCCTCAGGCCATGGCATTTGCTGATACTTAATAAACAAAACTTCTTTTTACTGGTACTTAGTAAACTGAATGAATAAATACTATTCATAAAACATACAGAGAACATTCTATAACTGCCAGCATTGTTTCTAAAAGGCGTTACAAACACCATACTGTTTGCATTAGTAAACGTATTTGCTTTTTGTTGTTGTTGTTTTTATTTTTGTCAGGTGAAAACTGGAAAATGAGAGAGAGGAAAAGTAATAAAGCACCCCTGCCATGAGGAATGGTAATGCCATAATTCCCTCTCCTCCGTTTCTTCCTCCTTTTGGGATTCTGGGCATGCACGCACATGTACCTGGTATGTTTCTCAAGCCACTGCATCTAAAACACAAACAGTGCAGTCAGCCATGTGGGATCCAACCACCTTAACCACCACACCACAGGATGGTTCTGAACATATTTATTTTAAAGGTTCAATTTTATTAGTAGAAACCTGGAAACAAATAGAAGTAAATAGTTATAGTGTTTACTTAGTAATTATTTTGGTTTTCCAAAACCTAGTTTTTTCTACATCTGTACATATTGGCTATTCTTTTTTTTTTTTTTGGAGAGATTTTTTTCACTATAGGGCGCGTGCGCTCACCAGACAGACAGAG